TTGCCAATGCATTTTTCTCCATTCCTCTGGCAGCAGAGTGCAGGCCTCAGTTTGCTTTCACCTGGAGGGGAGTGCAGTACACCTGGAACTGACTGCCCCAGGGGTGGAAACACAGCCCCACCATCTGTCATGGATTGATCCAGGCTACACTGGAGAAGGGTGAAGCTTCAGAACATCTGCAATACACTGATGACATCCTTGTGTGTGGGAACACGGTAATGGAAGTATTTGAGAAAGGAAAGAGAATCATCCAGATTCTGCTAGAAGCTGACTTCACAATCAAGGAGAGCAAAGTCAAAAGGCCTGCTTGAGAGATCCAGTTCCTAGGAGTAAAGTGGCAAGACAGACAGCATCAGATTCCCACTGAGGTCATCAATAAGATCACCGTGATGACTCCACTGACCAGCAATGAAGGAAACACAAGCTTTCCTAGGTGCCATAAGTTTTTGGAGAATGCACATTCCTGAATACAGCCAGATTGTGAGCCCTCTCTAACTGGTCATCAGCAGGAAGAATGATTTCCACTGGGGTCCTGAACAGCAACAAGCCTTCACCCAGGTCAAGTAGGAAATCGCTCATGCAGTAGTCCTTGGCCCAGTCATGATAGGACCAGAGGTGAAGAATGTGCTCTACTCTGCAGCTGGGAACCATGGTCTGTCCTGGAGCCTTTGACAGAAGGTGCCTGGTGAGACTCGGAGTAGACCATTGGTATGCTGAAGCCAAAGCTACAAAAGTTGTGAAGCCAACTACACTCTTACAGAGAAGGAAATCTTGGCTGCCTATGAAGGAGTTCAAGTGGCCTCAGAAATAACTGGCACCGAAATGCAGCTGCTTCTGGCACCCCAACTACTGGTACTGGGATGGATGTTCAAGGGAAAGGTTCCTTCTACAGATCATGCCACTGACATCACATGGAATTAAGTGGATTGCTCTCATCACATGGCGCGCCAGTATTGGAAATCCAAATCTTCCTGGGATTCTGGAAGTTACAACCAGGCCAAGGACATTGTGGCCACATGTCCCCAGTGCCAGAAGCTCGGGGTGCCAACCCTGAGCTCTGGCGTCAATCCTAGAGGCCTGGAGAGCTGTGAGTTATGGCAGATTGATGTCACCCACGTTCCACAGTTCGGCAGGTTGAAATATGTACATGTGAGTGTGGACACCTTTTCCGGGGCAGTCTTCGCTTCTGCCCACACAGGGGAGAAGGCCAAGGACGTACAGAAACGCCTTGTACAGGCCTTCTCTGTGTTGGGGATCCCAAAGGAATTGAAATCAGACAATGGCCCAGCATATGCTTCCACGGCCTTCTGGGAGTTCCTGCAGAGGTGGGGAATCAAACATAAGACTGGCATCCCGTATTCCCCCGCAGGTCAGGGCATGGTTGAGTGTGCCCACCAAACGCTCAAACGGGTCCTGGAGCAGCAACAGGGCGATACTCAATTCAATACACCTCATACTAAATTGCATAAAGCCCTTTTTACCATCAACTTTCTTAACTGCTCCTTCAAAATGTTGAGTCCTCCCATTGTGAGGCACTTCGCGAACTCTTCATCACTACGGTTGAGAAAACACCCTCCCGTGACGGTGAAGAACCCGGAGACTGGTAAAACGGAGGGCCCACATGAGTTAGTCACCTGGGGTCGTGGGTACACTTGCATATCCACGCCCTTTGGTTTGAGGTGGGTCCCTCAAAGGTGGGTCCGGCCCTATACTGCCAGTCAGGGACATCTGTCAGGGCCAACCTCCGGAGATGTCAAATATGCAGTGCTTCGTCATTGCCGGCGCCCCTCCCTGGAACACCAAGGGTCCCCCAGCAGGCAGGACAGCCCCTTCTCCAAGTTGTTTCCTCCCCCTGAAGTTCAGGACCTATTTGGGTAACCCATTCCCTTTCCCTGTTCTGTTTTAGTCAGCCACCCGGAGCCCCAGGATGTGGTATGCCCTTGTCATCTGGGCGTGCCTCTGCCAGTCTTTGGTGGAGTGGATAGTCCCGCAGCCGAGGAAGAATGTGTGGGTCACCCTGGCCCAGGCCATGCAGCAGAACCATCTCTGCTTATCAACTGCAGCAACAGGGAATCCACTTTCAACCTGCCTGGTGGGGATCCCATTTCAGCCCGAAGAATATCCCAAGACAATCATCAACATGCGAGATGATTTTAACCCCCGGTGGTGGCACCCCTCCTATGCCTCCTATCCTATGACCAACCCCCTCTGGGTGTGGCGGGAGTGGTCTAAAGACCTTCCCAAAGCACCTGAGGAACCTCAGGAATTAGAGTTACTTGGTTCAGCCCCATCCCCTTTTTGTGTTCAGAATCATTATAGATGGTCCAACCCCGAATCATACCTAAACGTTATCCAACCCAACCTTGACTATAGAGCTGCCGCATGGTGCAACATCACCGCCCAGATTGAGGGGGCCCCTGTAGACCAACCTCGCCAGCTAGGTAAGGGGGTCTTCTTGATCTGTGGTGACCGGGCATGGCCAGGCATCCCCTCTCGCCTGATAGGAGGGCCGTGCACCCTTGGACGACTGACCCTGTTTTCGCCTAACCGTACCCAAATTTCGAATTGGAAATCTAAAACCACAAAATCAGCGATCCAAAAGAGAGAGACTCATAATTTGGACGAAAATTGCAATGCAGATGTTTTTCATTGGTCTAAGTCCAAAAGAACTGCTGTCTCCATCTTTTTACTGTGTGTGGCAGTGGCTAAAGCCCTAGGTGAATTGGGCCACCTAGAGTGCTGGGTAGCGAAACAGGCAAATCTTACATCAGAGGCCTTAAGCGACCTCCTAGCAGATGAGGAAATTACCAGGCAGGCGACCCTACAAAATTGGGCAGCAATAGATTTCCTGTTGCTTGCGCATGGCCATGGCTGTGAGGACTTCGAAGGCCTCTGCTGTCTCAACTTGTCATCTTGGAGCAGCAGTGTCCACTCCAAGATACAGCAAATACAAGGCCTTGTCACGAATGTCAAGGAGGAATCCGAAGACTGGCTGAGAAAGGTCTTTAAATGATGGGGACTTTCGGGTTGGCTGGCTTCAGTTGTCAAAACCATTATTTCTATTGTCCTTGTTATTATTCTCGTTTGTATTGCTATCCCCATTATTAAGATCTTACTTGTCTGCAGCATCTCCCCATCACCCCAAGTTAACCACGCAAAGGGGGGGCCTATCCCGGAGTGGGATCTCGAAGATCCCCCAACTGGTGAAGACATGGAAGCAGTTGAGGAAAAGGAGGATGGGCTCACCTCTGGCGAGGACTTTGAAAATGACACTTCTGTTTAAAAAGAAAGGGGGAGATGTTGTGTTGCATTGTTTAATGTTAATTTTCCTTCTGGTTCATCCCAGTTTCGTTCCCCTAAGTTAAGTACATAATGGTTTTTCCCTTTCCCGCCTTTGCCCTAGTCAGTCATCCTAAACCCCTCCCCTTTATCTGGAACCTTCCCTGTCCCTCACCCTAAACCCTGCCCCACTGGATGTCAGTCCTTTGTAGCCCCTCCCTTTGTTCTAGAAGTCTCTGTGTCAAGCATTCCCTTTTGTATCCATGATTGGTTGTATTGTATGTATCCCTACCTTTGGTTTACCTTATTGGCTCAATGTACCCCTTTCCCTGACTTCTGTACCTCCCCCCGTTAACCGTTATTGGCCAGAGTTTTGTACCCTCCTCTTGTGCCTCCCCCATACTTAAGCCTGTGTAGAACCCCTCAAAATGCCTTTTGCGGTTCCCTCTCCCAACCTCCTGACCTGTTACCTCTTCCTCCAATAAATCCCTTCCCCCAGAACCATAAAAGGTCTCTCCTGCGCCTCTTTGTCCCTCCCTGATGACTTGCCCAGGCGTAGCTGTTGCTACACCTCTTCTGCGGCTCCCAGAGTGGTGCTGGGGAGAGGCCACTCACCGACGCAGGCTTCCCGGAGCTAGCCGGTAGCCCAGGTGAGGTGGGCAGTGGGTGGAAGACGTGTCAGCTCTCTCCTCCCTGCAAGCTGTTCCCCAGTAAACTGTGGGACTGTGGTCCTGGGAGAAGGAGCCTCCTTGTCTTTTACCTTTGTCCTTGTTGGCACTCTTCATCTCCCATGGTCTGGAGCTAGCCAAGTGGACCCAGAGAGAAAAGAAACCAACACAGCTGGCTTTGAATATTGCTGAATGAAAGAAATGGCCAGGCTCTATCTCTACACTGACTCATGGATGGTAGCTAATGCTCTATGGGGATGGCTGGATCGCTGGAAAAAGGCCAACTGGCAGTGCAGAGCAAAATCCATCTGGGCCACTACAATTTGGCAGGACATTGCCGCCTGAGAGGCTGACGGTGAAGGTTTGACACGTAAATGCGCACGTACCCAAGAGTTGGGCTAATGAAGATCATCTAAACAATGAACAGGTGGACTGAGCTGCCCAGGTGAAAGTATCACAGGAAGATCTAGACTGGCAGCACAAGGGAGAATCATTCTTAGCTTGTTGGGCCCATGATGCCTCTGGTCATCAGGGGAGAGATGCAACATAACGATGGGCCTGTGACTGAGGGGTGGATCTTACGATGGACAGCATCTCACAGGTCATCCACAACTGTGAGACCTGTGCTGCAATCAAACAGGCCAAGCAGGTAAAGCCTCTGTGGTACAGTGGATGATAGCTGAAGTACAAATACGGGGAAGCCTGGCATATTGACTACATCACCCTTCCCCAAACCTGCCAAGACAAGCACTACATGCTGACCATGGTGGAAGCAACTACAGGATGGGTGGAAATCTAACCTGTGCCTCACACTACTGCCCAGAACACCATCTTAGGCTTAGAAAAGCAAGTCCTGTGGAGACACAGCACCCCTGAGAGAATTAAGTTGGACAACAGAAACCATTTCAAGAATGGCCTTATAAACACCTGGGCCAAAGAAAATTGTATTGAATGGATATATCATATCCCTTACCATGCACTAACTACTAGGAAAGTTGAACAGTGCAATGGACTCCTTAATACTACCCTGAAGGCACTTGGTGGGGCAACCTTTGATGCCTTAAGTTTTAAGTTTTTCTATTCTGCTTGGATGTGCTTTTCTGATGTGCTAGGGTGATGAAGACAAAACAGTCATATTCCAATTGAGAACTCAAGGACAGTTTCTGCAAACTTCAGGCCCTAAACATAAACAACATGGAAAGAGGAGGGCGGGTTCATGCAAATGAACCAAAACCTATAAAAGTGTGAGATTTTGTGACCAAGCCCTCCTTTGCTTCCATCTTGAAGCCATCCAGGCAGGGGCCACGAGTGTGGCACTCATACTGCTAGGGTGTGACCTTTTGTAGGCCTTTCATAGGCCTCTCAATAAATACCCATTTCATTCTCCTTAACTCTGTGTGTAGCCTCTGTTCCAGCTCCTCAAGGCATCACCTTCAGAAACTGGGAAATTAACAAAAGTCACCTAGATAGTCAACACCCGAAAGTCCATCAATCAAGCTGGTCCTCCCCAGTGTGAACCCCTGCACACTGTGGATGGAGGCAAAATCCCTGTGGTACACATGAAAGGCATTTTAGGAAAGACTGGATTCATCCCATTGCAGGCAAATGCAAATCCATCCATGGGATTGTTTTTGGTCAAAGACCTGTGTCCTAGGGTGACGTTATGGTGCTTATATCCCCAATTGTGTGCTCTGTTTATGCTTAGTATTATGTCCTGTGCATTCAGGACTGACTCTGAAAGTGAAGGTTTGTATTGTTTTGTTATCATCCGGCTCACCTCCCCCATGGTCTGTGTTTAGGACAGGCTTTGCTTTGCTTGCTTGCGGGCTTGCTTGCTTTCGCTTTGCTCTCGCTCCTACTTTTTGCTTTTGCCCTTGCTTTTGCTTATTAGTTAGTTTAGCTAGGCAATGTAATTTTTTCCCTGGACTGTTTTTTCTTTTTGTTTTCTCTCCCTTTCCTGAATACCATCTGAACCTGTTCCGGACGGGGACCTGGGAAACACCAAGAAATACCGGGAGTCTGAATTTTGTGACCTGCAGCAGCCATCCCCCGGCACTGGAGGCTGATAATTGGGCGACCACTTGCTGGAGAGACTTTCTGAATTTGTCATCCATTCAGAGAGGTGAAAGAGTTTTTTGTCATCTGGTGGTGTTTGTTTTTTGGTTTTTTTTTGTGCTAGGGAGTGGTTTTGCTTGTTAAATAAACAGGTTTTTTTCCACTCCTCTCTGAGGAAATTCTTCCCAAACCCGGTGGTGGGGGGAGGAGTCATGGGGGTTTGCTTTCTGGGGGCTCCTTCTGGAGGTTTTCCCCCAAATTTGCCCTAAACCAGGACAACCTGATTACACCTGGCAAGGTGTCAGGTTGTATTCTGACTCTGTCAATGGTTTTCTTTTGTTCTGTTGCATGGTTTGGTTTTTTTTTTTCTTTTTCCTATTAAATTTTATTTCTGACTCGGAGTCTCTCACTGGTTTTGCTTTCAAACCAGTACAGCTTGTAGAAATTGGAACATATGTTTCAGGATCACCAGCCCTTATTCTTATAGATGACTTCAACCTACCAGACATCTACTGGGAAGCTAATACAGCAGGAAAGAGTCAGTCAAGGAAGTCTTAGAGTGTGTGGAGGACAACTTTTTTTTGCTGCTGGTGAGTGAGCCCACCGGGGAGGGACTATGTTAGATTTGTTGTTTGCAAACAGATGGGCTGGTGGGAGATGTGATTGGAGACCACTTGGGGCATAATGATCATGAAATTATCATAGTGCTCTGTTGCATTTAGTGTTCCTATTACCCAGTTTTCAGTTTCGTAATCCGGGTTCTCTGATAATGGTTGCTTCCAAAGCCCTCCCTATGTTGTTCCAAGTTGGTTTCTCCCTAAGTGGATCCACCTCTGATGTAAACCACTCCTGTTTCTCCTCTCCTTTGCTCTCATTGGAACTGGCTCTGTAAACCACTCCCCTCACTCCTCCCATAAGGTGTTGTAACTCCCTAGATGTATTGGAAATGGTAGATTCCGTGACCCCTGCAATGTCCTGTGGCCTGGTCCCTCTCCCCTCTGGCCATACCTAGCTGGCTGAGATCCAATTTCTTCCCCCCCCCCATTTCAGACCCTAGAAAAGACCTGTGCCCCCTGACCTCAACCTCTTTCTCTCTTTTTGCTCCTGGAGGACCACAAGAAATAAACCTCTGCAACCTCCCCAGGGGGGAAAGAGCCCCTTTTGTTATCTTTTATTCACATTCATGTGGCGGATCCGTGAGGCTTCACCCTAACATCTGAGCTAGTCCGGAGGAAAGGGTAAAGACTCATCGGTCAAAGCCACAATAAGGTTATCTCCTTGGCTGGCTGTTTGTACCCGCCCACTGGTTTTGGCCTATATATAAACCACTGCAGAGCTGCTCTCTTGCTCTTTCGCTTCTGAACCTCTGGATTAAAAGACCTTGTGGAATATCAGATGGAGAGCATCCATTGACTCTTTTACTTTTCTCCCTGATGCTGGTAAAGCTAATCTCACTAGAGCCGCAGCTCTGAAGTTCAGCTCCTGGTGAATTTCTCCTGGAGTTGTTCCACACACCTTGGCGTGGCTGCTGGTGTTCTAAAAGAGCTAGCTAAAGACTCCAGTGGTTGCATCAGTGATCATGAAAATATTGAGAGTTGTCAATATTTGGTGAAATCAGGAGGAACATCAATAAGACTTTTACATTGGACTTCTGGAGGTCAGATTTTGGCCTATTTAGGAGATACATTCAGAGAGTTCCTTGGGAAGCAGCCCTTAAAAATAAAAGAGTCTAGGAAAGGTGGGCATGCTTCAAAACAGAGATCGTGAGGACATAGTCCCTGTGTGCCAAAAGATGAGTCAACGAGGCAAATGCCCAGCCTGGATGAGCAATGAGGTTTAGAAGGAATTTAGGAATAAAAAGAGGATGTATCATCTTTGGGAGGAGGGTCAAATGTCTCAGGAAGTATTTAAGGGGGCTGCTAGGGCATGTAGAAAAACAATTAGAGAGGTGAAAGCTCAATATGAACTTAAAATGGCGACTTCTGTAAAGGATAATAAAAAATGTTTCTACAAATATATTAATGGTAAAAGGAAGGATAAGACCAACCTTTGTTCTCTATTGGATGAGGGATGAAACTTAGTAACTGCAGATGAGGAGAAGGTGGAAGTGCTTAACGCCTTCTTTGCCTCAGTCTTTAGTGGGAAGATGGCTTTTCCTCAGGACTACTATCCTCCTGGGTTGGTAGATGGTCCCTTCCCTTAACAGAAAGGCCCCACTCAAAAGGTACCACTGGCTTATCCTTCCTCAAGGACTGAAGAACAGCCCAACTATATGCCAGTG